TTTTCTTCTGGGTCTTTTTTTGAGACGAGTAGTTAGACTAATTTCCTTGATATCAGTAGCTAGACTAATTCTGTTGGTCATGTCCCATTTAGAGGGGTTTGGGCAAAAGGGAAGACAAAAAAAAATAAAGGCTGAAAATCTTGAAAATAGATTAAAATCATGAAACTCTGGATACAAGAAGCCCAACAAACCCAAGGAAGACAAATAAAAACACATCATACTTAAATTCCTGAAGGCAGAAAAAGGAGCCGAGGATAAAGAGGCCTGCAGGCATCTTTTCAGGACTATGGATGCCATAAGATAAAGTAAAGGCTCTGAAAGGCAGAGATAAAAAAGAAAGACTGTCAAATGAAAACTTCAAAACAGCTTTCAAATCTGAAGGCAAAATAGGCCCCGAGCAATGGCTCCCACCCATAATTGCAGCACTTTGGGAAGCTGAGGTGGGTGGATCACCTGGGATCAGGAGTTCAAGACCAGCCAGGCCAACATGGTGAAACCCCATTCCTAAATAAATAAATAAAGTACAAAAATTAGGCAGGCATGGTGGTACGTGCCTGTAATCCCAGCTACTCAGGACACTGAGGCAGAAGAATTGCTCTAACCCAGGAGGCGGAGGCTGCAGTGACTCGAGATGGGGTCACTGCACTTCAGCCTCTGTGACAGAACCAGATTCGGTCTCAAAAACAAAGAAAAAGGCAAAATGAAGACAATTTTCAAACAAAAATTCACACAATCTCTAGCAGATTTCACTACAAGACATGTTGTAAGAAGTTCTTAGAACTAAAGAAAAATGGCAGTAAATGGAAACTTGGTTCAACACACAAGAAAGAGAAGTCCCAGAACAGGTAAGCACATGGGTAAATGGAAAAGATTGTTTTCATTTTTTACTCTCTTTAAAATATGCTTGACAACTTCGAACAAAAAACAGTACTGCACTATGCGGCTGGTAATATGTAGAAGTAAGATAAACGACACAAATACAAAGCGTGGGAAGAAGCCATGTCAGACTGTGCTAAGACTCTTACACAGTAAGTGACATGCAAAAAGACTGTGCTAAGTTAAAAACATACACTGGAAACATGATAATGACACAGAACAGAACTAATACACACAGCTAATTAGCCGTTAATGGTGATGAAGTGGAAATGAAACACAACACCCAAAGAAGAAGAAAAGAAACAAAGAAACGGGTAAGCAGAACATGAAGAGTAAAATGCCTGACTTCAGCTCAACCATGTTAATGATTACAGTAAAGGCACAGCATAAAATGCAGCAATTCTCAGAATAAAAAAGCAGTACCTACTTTCATTACATTAAGAAACACACTTTAAATTCAAAGAAATATATATGAAACATAAAACGATGGAAAAAGTACGCATGTAAATGCTAATTTTTAAAAAGCTGAAATTACTATAATAGTTAAGAACAAAATAGATGTCTCAACAAAGAATGCTACCAGGAATAATGAAAACGGGCCAATTCAAGAAAATACAATAATTTTGCATGTGTATGAACCCAAAAACAGTGCTTCAATATACATAAGAAAACAACTCACAGAGCCAAAAGCAGAAATAGTTAAAGCTACAACAAGTATAGGATCTTAAAAGTCTTCTTCAGTATTTAAGAGAAAAAACAGTAGAAAAAAACTTTTTTAAATAACAGTTTCCATTAGCCTGACCTAATGAACATTTACAGAACATCCAGACAACAGGAGGTCAAACATTATTTTTAAGCTAACATGGAATACTGACCCAGAGAGTTCCTATGCTGGGCCATATCACAAGTTTCAATACATATGAAAGGACTGAAATAGAACAGAAAATGTTCCATGACCATAAGAAAATTAAATAACAATAAATTACAAGACACTGGGAAAATTCCCAACTATTTGGCACGTAACTATGTATTTCCAAATAACCAAGGGATGAAAAGAAGGAATCATGAAAGAATTAGAAAATATTTTTAATTAAATAACAAAAATGCAGAATATCAAAATTTGCGTGACACAGGTAAATACTGCTTGGAAAGAGGTTTACAGCTCTGAAAGTTTATAAACAGAAAATAATAAGGTATAAAATCAAAGGCCTAACTTCCACCTTATAGAGGAAGAAACAAAAATAGTATTATACATAAACTGTGTAGAATGAAGGAAATAAAATCCGGGCAGAAATTAACAACACAGAAAATGAACAAACAATAAAGATAATCAATGAAATCAAAAACCAGTTCAGTTCTTTGACATGATCAATAAAATAGAGACAGGATATAAACTACCAATATTGGGAATGAAAGAAGGAACCCTAAAATACTAAAAATAATAATAGAACATTGTAAACTTTATGTCATTAACGTTGTCAACTTACATACAATGAACTAATTCTCTGAAAACCACAAATTTTCAATGAACAGAAAATCTGATTAACTCTATACCAAAGAAATTCAATTCACAATCAAATGTTTTACCACAAAGTAAACTCTTGGATCAGACAGTTCCAAAAGTGAATTTGTTCAACATTTAAAAAATAAATAACACCAACTTTATGCCAACTGTTTTAAACATTACAGGAGGCAAAAAGACTCCCCAACTCTTTATAAGGCCAGCTTATCCCTAGATACCCAACGAAAGACATTAAACAAAGGCAATACAGATCCATGTCTTTCATGAACATCAGCACAAAACATCCTTAACAAAATATCAGCAGATCAAATACTGTGACATAATCAAAAGACACTCAGTATGACTAGGTGAGGTTTATGCCAGTAACACAAGGTTGGTATAACAAATATAAAGACAGACCACACACCATTATACTAACAGATGAAGAAGAAAATCCATACGATCATCCCTACAGATACAGAAAAGCTTTGGAAAAACCTAACACCCATTCAGGGTAAGACCTCTCAGCAGGCCGGGCGCGGTGGCTCACGCCTGTAATCCCGGCACTTTGGGAGGCCGAGGCGGGTGGATCACGAGGTCAAGAGGTCGAGACCATCCTGGTCAACATGGTGAAACCCCGTCTCTACTAAAAATACAAAAAATTAGCTGGGCATGGTGGCGCATGCCTGTAATCCCAGCTACTCGGGAGGCTGAGGCAGGAGAATTGCCTGAACCCAGGAGGCGGAGGTTGGGGTGAGCCGAGATCGCGCCATTGCACTCCAGCCTGGGTGACAAGAGCGAAACTCCATCTAAAAAAAAAAAAGACCTCTCAGCAATCTAGGACTAGAAAGAACTTCCTCACCGACAGGGACTCCCTGAACAAGCTGCAGGTGACATTAGACGTGAAGGCAGAATGGTTCTGCACCGAGACTGTCAACAGGACACATCACCAAAGAGGACCGGCAGATGGCAAACAAGCAGGAGAACGAATGTTGAGCACGACCGGCCACCACAGAAACACAAGCGGAAGCCATAGTAAGACAGCACTGCAGCCGGGCGTGGTGGCTCACGCCTGTAATCCAAGCACTTTGGAGGCCAAGGAGGGACGATCACCTGAGGTCGGGAGTTCAAGACCAGCCTGACCAACATGGTGAAACCCCATCTTTATTTAAAAAAAAAAAGTAAAAAATTGATAAAAGAGAAAAAAAAAGTAGGATAGCACTGTACACAATAAAACTACAATAAAAACTGGTGACAACACTGAAGGTGGCAAGGACAGAGAAACTGGGTCACTCATCTGGTGCTGGTGGAGACACGGAATGGTGCAGCCACTCTGGAAAAGTTTGGCAGCTCCACTGAAAGCCACACTGTGATCCAGGAACTGCCGCATGCACACACCCAGCCCCATCCTCAGGTGAGGAGGTGCTCTCCCTGGCATCTGACTTCATGATTTAACAGCTGCCTAGTTGACTCTACCCACTGCAAAGCAGGTAAAAGGCAGCTGTCAACAGCCCAACATCTCCAACCTGGTCATCTGTTGGTCCAGTAGAATCTACCTTCCTTCATTAAACATATAAATTATTCATAGTAGCCTACAAAATTTATGTAAACAATCATAGAACACCGGAAATTAAAATCCCATGAAACAAATCATCTAAGTAGCACTCGCTGCCTGGCTTTGACTGAGAAGCCTGACCCAGAAAAGCAGCTTGGACAATTTTCAAACAGAGTTTCTAACCTGAAGGCCAGTGAAGCCCATGTGAAGTACAGAGAGAAAACAGGGGAAAAGAAAAACATTTCTATGTGCCTAAGAAGAAGAAAATTAAAATCAGGATATTCATTTGAGAATATCCGGTATTACTGATTTGAAAGATTCTAAACACATGAGCATGAATACACTTTTTAACTGGCAAAGCATCAATACAGAAATCACAAAGAAGAGGGGCAAACAGCCAAATAAAAACTAAAAGTTTCTGGCTGGGAGTGGTAGCTCACACCTGTAATCCCAGCACTTTGAAAGACCAAGATGAAAAGACTGCTTGAGGCCAGGAGTTCAAGACCAGCCTGGACAACACAGCAAGATCCACCCCCAGTCTCTACAAAAAAAAAATTAAAAATTAGCTGGGCATGGTGGTATACACCTGTACTCTCATCTACTCAGGAGGCTGTGGAGAGACTATCGCTTGAGCCCAGAAGTTTTAGGTTGCAGTGAGCTATGATCGTGTTACTGTACTTCAGCCTGGGCAACAGAGTGACAACCTATCATTTAAAAAAACAAAATAAATAGAAAAAGAAAAAGGACATTAAGAGGAGAAGGAGGAGGAGGAAGAGGAGAAGGAGGAAGAAGAGTAGGAGGGGTCAAGGAAGGGGAGGAAGGTGACCAGAAGGAGAAAGAAAACCAAAGTGCCAAAAGGAAAATTCAAAACCACCTAAAACTGATTATGTGCTAAGACATCACAGAAATTATTTTGGCATCATTTTGTGAATTGCCTTCATAAGGAATAAAGAAATTATAAAACAAATTCTCAATGCATTAAATAAAACAGCTTGTATAAACAGAAATATACATGAAACCTAGAAACCACCACTAAAAATAAGAGGATGAAGTCTCGATGCTGCTCACCCCAAGAGCCGGCAGCCGTTGTGTGCAGCTCACCGCCACCTTCAGCTTCCAGTCAGTTTCACCATCTAGTTGATCAGTTCGAATAAAACACGAACCTTGGAAGCAGAGAATAAAAATTTACCACTCTTGAATTGTGTTACAGAAGGTTTTTCCTGAGCTACAGGTGCCCTCAAAGAATAATTCCAGGGCACAGTAGGACAAAGAAATAACAACCTAGACATTCCCAGGAACAAAAATCCTTAAAAGCCTTTATTTTACACAATGTTCCTTGATTCACAAAAGAAATCTGATGAAAATATGTAGGCCATTAAAATTGTTTTTAGTTAATCACTTATTTCCTGTTTGCTGTTCTTGCCTATTAACATTAATCAGTCTTCTATTTTAGAAAAACTACATTGATCATTTCCACTTTCAATGTATGTTTTGATAATAACAAAATAAAAAATACACAAAAATATCCAAGAATGTGTGATATTATCTTGCTAATAAAATATCAGATTTACCATCATAAAAAACGTTCAATCATAAAAGCACAGCTACAATGCTGAGACCCAGGTAAGTGTTACCATATGCTCATGAGCCTATCCAGTTTCAAACACAGTAAGATATTCTATTAGGAAAATCCATTACTCTTTGGCCATGCTATCATCCTACTTCTCAGAATCTATTCTAATGACGAAATAGCAAAAGCACAAAATGAAAAACACACAAGACTGCGCCTTCCAGCATTGTTTCTAATAACAGAAGATTGTTATGAAACAAGGGGGAACAAACAGAGTACTAGCTGATTAAAACAGCACACGCACCAATACAGAAAGTAAAGCAAACACGATGACTGCAATACACTGTCATGGAAAGATGTCTAGGATGTAGACTGTGAAATGAGAATACATTATAGTTAAGAACAAGGGAGGGAAGAGAGGGAATTCATGTGTCTTCATACATCTCTCTATGTATGTATCACTGTGTATACGCATGCTCATCTGTGTGTGGATATGTGCCCATGTGCGTATCTGTGTGCACATGTGTGTGTGTGTATGCGCGCCAGCATAGCTGTGTGTGCACATGCATGTATATATGTATTTGTGCATGTATGTGTACATGGGTATCTGTGTATAATATGCATATATAACTGAAGAAGTACCTGAGGATCTGTGTGTTTGTGTGTGTGTATGCTGGCGTGTGAACATATCTGTGTGCACAAGTGTGGACCTATGTCTGCATGCATGCATATCTGTGTATGTGAAGGACGTGAGGGCACGAAAATCTGTGTTCCTATGTGTGTACATCTCTGTGTGAGTGTATCTGCGGGCATACAAATGCTTCTGTGTGTGTGCACATACCTGTGTATACATGTATATGAGTATAATTCCTACAGAGGGAGGAAGGGAACAGGAATAGATTTTAGGCCTTCTGAATGTATCATATACTGTTCACTTTAAAATCAGATATATTTTATATCATTAAAAAGCCAGATTACCCCAAACATTTTTAAAACTCCTAAAAAATTAAAAGCAGCATATAAAACATAATTGACAGTTTAATCACAGAGATAATTCATCCAGGTAACTTTTGAGGTTGCAGAATTTTTTTTGAGGTTTTTTTTTTTTCCTTTTTCAAGAGACAAGGTCCCGCTCTGTCACCCAGGCTAAAGCGGTTCAGTGGCACAATCACAGATTGCTGTAAACTCAACTTCCTGCACTTACGTGACTCTCCCCCCGTAGCCTCCCAAATCATTGGAACTACAGGCATATGCCACCATGCCCAGCTAATTCTTTTTCATTTTTTGTACAAGTAGGGTATCACTATGTCACCCAGACTGGTCTCAAACTTTTGGAATCAAGCAATCCTTCCGCTTCAGCCTCCCCAGGTGCTGGGATTACAGGCATGAGCCACCCACCACACCCAGCCAGAAAATTCTAAATTGCAAAAGAAAATAGTTACAGAAAGCCATACAAGTGTAGGTACACCTAGCAAATCATTAGAAACCAAATACCCTGTGTAAATAACCTCAAGGTCCCTCAGGAGACCCTCCAGTGCCCCATCCCAAACACAGGCCCCTTATCCTTCCAAAGCAGGTCGCTTCTACTTCCTTGCTGTGCGTAAGTGTTCATGCCCAAATCCTCAGACACTAGAGCTGAGCCCTACCTATCCTTGCTGTCTTCAGTCACTTTTAATCCATAGGTCCCCTCCCCTCCACTCCTCTCTCCTTCTGATTCATCTGCTGAAAGGCCTGGGTCTGCACTTGACCATCTGCATGCTTGTGGTCCAGTCTGACTGCCTACCCCATCCACTGCCTGGAGCCCAGCCCTTGCTCCAGCTGGCCTTCAGCACTACAGCACTGTTGCGACCCAGAGGCACCAGGTCCAGGTTCTGCTCTACTTGGTGTGGCGGCCACACATGCTCAGTACCAAGACACGCTACATGACAGGAGGATGTAGAGAGAGATGATCTGTCCTCCTTTTTACTTTCAGCTGAAAAGAAAGTAGACAGAGCAGCTTCCGCACTTCTGAGCTGGGTGTGGTCACCCAGTAGAACAGCTCCTGTAGGAAAGGGTGGCTCCCTGTTGCTCTTCATCTACATTTCGAGATAATGAACTGGCACTGCCAACCCCAGATGGTGAACAATGGGGTGAACAGCAATATTTGTTAAGTCTCAATACAATGTAATGATTATTATTGTTGTTATTATTACAGAATCTCAAATTGCCCCATAATTGGCCAATGGGAGTCTCTTCATGTGGTGCCTGAGTCCTGGTGACACGAACCTAGTAGGCTCTGGCGATTGTACTGCAAACTGGTGTCATAAGACGCTCGTTGCCACTGTACTGAACATTGTTTCTAGGTCTTTTCAATGGACAGAGCAAGAATAAAAAGAAAAAAATGGGCGGGGGGAGAGAGAGCGAGAGAGTGTGTGTGTGTGTGCGCATGCCCACACACAAGGTAACTCACGAGTTCACACTGACACTGCCAATTCCACGTCAGTAACACAAGACGTTTCCTTTAAGCTCTTTGATACTACAGCTACATCTTCTTTCTTCCCTGTTGAGAATCCTGATTTTCAAGAACATGCGAGAAGACAGAGTGAGAATTCCAGCATGCCCTGTGGTTTTGGGTGGTTTGCTCAAATCTGCCGGCATTTGGGGCTTTGTAGAGATAAGAGATAATTTCATTTTATTATAAATGCTGGCCAGGGGTTGTTGGGTCTATCTAGTTCCTCAGTCTGTCCTCTTAGATCTGTGTGATATTTTTACTTCAAGGTCAACAATCTTATTGAGCTACAATGGCCGTACAACAACCCTCATGCTTAAAATATAAAACCGGATGTGTTCTGCCCTATGTGCATGCCTGTGAAACCACCATCAGCACCACAACATCTCCCAACCATAAAGGTGATATGCACGCCCTCCTCCTGACCCCTCCTCCGCCGACTGCAAGCATGTACTAATGATCTGCTTTATGTCACCAGCTCTGTTGTCACCGGTGCAAGGATTTGGGAACATATAAAAACTCTGCTGCACAACCAACTCCAAGGATCTCCGAACTGCATGTGACTTCATATACGGAAACTGGAGTGTCCTTCTACTGGGACATACGCTAAGCAAAGAAACGAGAGACAAACTTTAAACAGGCTTCCATTACCGTATCATTCATGTTCATGCTGGTGCTGTGATATGGAAACACACATACACACAGAAGCAAGCATGAGCTGCCATCACTTCGCAGTTACATGGGACCGGAAAAACAACCATCTAAACTAATCCATGGAGTGCAATCTTAATAATCAACGTGGAAAAGACAATCGTCCGATGGCTACTAAAAACCTGTCAGAACACTGAAACTTTCTTCCTGCCAATTATAAATGTATGGGGAGACAAAAAGAATACAAGCAGTGTTCACTGAGTATGCTAATTGAAAACAGCAGAAACACTGAGAATAAAAGTGCCTTGTTTCTTCCTTAAAATCTTAGGGAAGTTTGAAACACAACTTGCCTCTTCCTCATCACAAAACTTATGATATGAAGGAAGCATCTCCTCTAGGCTTTGGCACTGCCATGCTGCCATGGAAGCTGAGACGAGCTTGTGCTGTGTATCTTACAGGCTTTCTGTGTCAGGAAATATGTCTGAGGGTTCCTTTAATGTGACATTTTTGGTTGGCATAACTCACATAAGGACATCTTCATCTTTTTTAACACCACGACGTCCCCCTTTTTTGCCAGAAAATTCAACTTCAGTCAATTCCTCTGGCTTGAAACCAGCAGTGGCTCGAAGGGCAGGGCAGGGCCACAGTGTAAACAATCCGTTCGCTCTCCCCAGCTTCCCACAGAGCCATGGTGTGGTGCAGTAGATTTTCTGCAGTATCACACATGCAGAGCCTGGGGTCACTTCCTGTCACTGTGCTTCAATGTTTTCATCTGCATGTGTTCTGACATACTTCTTCAAAACCTCAACTGAAGATCCTGCATGATCACCAGTTACATAGCAATAACGACAGATCAAAAAGCTCACCTAAGATTACAGGCTTAAAAAGTTGAAGTAAGGCCATGGCACACTGGCTGGATTAATGACGCTGTGTTTGGTGGTAAAAAACAAATTAACTTTGACAAGGAAAAACACAACCACATCCTTTGCTGTTTGTGGGTGAACTAACTGCAGATGTGCAGTGATCAGTCACCAACAGACTCTGAAGAAGTGATGCTGTATTGATCACTGGTCATGTGACAATCAGGTTGTTGACTCAATGATCTCTGGACTGAGGAGTCAAAAGTGAAGCTCATACTTCATGCAATTAGTCATCAGTACTATACCATGGTAACTAAGACAAAAATAAATATTTTTTGAGCGCAGACTGGAGTGCAGTGGTGAGATCCAGGCTCACTGCAGCCTCAACCTCCTAGGCTGAGGTGATCTTCCCACCATGCCTGGCTAATTTGTGTGTGTGTATATATATATATATATATATATATATATATATATATATATATATTTTTTTTTTTTTTTTTTGTACAGACAGAGTTTTGCCATATGGCTAAGGTTGTGCTGTTGAAGAATTGGTGTTGCTTATCTTAACTTTGGGAATTGAAATTCATGGACATT